GTAGCCAAGCTGTTTTGTGCACTGTGTTATAAAATACTTTAATATTTTTAATTTTTGACATTATAATTATAAAATAGACATTATTAAACTAGAATATTCATTTTATGTGTTTATATACTAATTTCTTTTTATTATTTTCCTATTTGTTAGGGTTTAATCAACACGAACATTACTAACTTCTGTATTTTTTTATAAATACATTGCTAACTTCTGTATTGAACCCATGGTTCAAAGTATTGATACACATGTGTATCGGCAAGGGTGTATCGGTACTTATAACAATACTCCCCCTATTTTTTTTTATTTCTTTGGTTTTCAATTTCATTTTTAAATATATATATATATATATATTATTTAAAAAAATGGGTCCCCGAAAACACCTGAATTTTGATCCTTGATTGAACCCTCAATGATTTCAAAACCTGAACCAATAAGCAAGGGAAGAACTTAAAATTTTGTCTAATCAACACATTTTCTTCTTCTTCCACTTTTTCTTTTCTTCTTTTCCTATAACAAGAGTAGGGGTTCAGCCCCTATATTTTTTGAAATTTCCTTCCTTTGTTCTTTTTTCATCCCATAAAATGTTGATTTTCTAGACTTAAACATGAAATTTATACTTCTCTTATGAAAATTATGGATAATTATTAAGGAAAGATGGTTATGGAACCTAGGGAACTATCCTAGGATATATGGTTTTACATAAAAAAAAAAAAAAAAAAAAATCCAACGCCTAGGCGACTAGGCAATAAAGCGCCCCCCTATCGCCTAGCCTCGCCTTGGTGCCTTGAAAACTATGACCATAATGAATAGATGAAGCAACAATCCCAGCTATAGCCACATCCTCTTTACTCTTGTAATGCCTCTCTTTTGTTGGCAACAACTTTTCTCTAGGTCGGAATTCAAGGCCTACATTTCCAATGCATAGACCTGAATCCCCACACCTCAAAGTTGGAGAAACCCCAATTTCATTATAGAAATATTTTGTAGTTCTCCAAAAAAAGTCGTCGGTGTCCTACACTTCTGTTCTTACTGTCGTAGTTTCAAATTTTCTTTTTAACTTAGATGGAGACGAAGACGGACCCATATTCAGGCCTGTCGACCACTCCTCCCTAAACGGGCCCACTTGCTTTGAAATCTTAAAAATGTCGATTCTAATAGTGCCAATCGAGCTAGCTTCTAAAGGCTTCACAAAAATATGCCCAAGATAGTTTAAATCCATCCTCCCTCACAAGATCCAAAGTATCGAAAACACCAAGTGTATTGGAAATGCAATTACAAGGAATGTATCAGGATACGCCTTGGATATTCATGTGTATCAAAGAAAAATGAAGATATGCATGGAAAAACTATAAATACTTCAATAAAACATAAAAATACATAGTTATTGGGTTTTAAGAAGAAATACATTGTAGTCAATTATAATTTTCATTAAAAAAACCCTATGCTTAACAATAATTTATAAATTATAATTATTGTTTTAAGGATGGGAAAAGCCCAACTATCCTATCCAACCATAAAACATGCATTGGCACAACTTCTAAGTGAAAATATAATTAATAATTATTTCTTATTAAAATAATTATTATCTATTTTTTAATTTCAAAAATTACAAAAATAAAAAATAAATAAACATTGCACAATATATTCAAAAAATAATTATTGAAGAAGAAATTTCAATTGCTTTATGAATTGCTCTAGCGCTGTTACAAGGTCTAAAACTCACTAAGCAAGCAAACTTTCAAAATTTGGAGGTAGAAGGGGATTCAAAATTGGTTATCTCTTGGACTACTACAAGGTGCAACAGTCCCTGGATATATAGAGACACACTAAGAGAGATAGAAAGTCTGGCAACGGAACTCAATGTTTCATTCACTTGGATCAGAAGGACTGCAAATGGAATGGCTGATTCATTAGTTAAGCAGGGGGTCCATAGGCAGCAGTTGTTTTGGGCACAACTGTAGTTTCTTTTGTCATTGATAATAAAATTAATTCTTTGCTGATCAAAAAAATACATTTTCAATTTTTTGTTATTTTATGTTTTTCCCAAATCTCTTTATAAAATTTCCATAGATCTACTCATAACACCAAAAAAAATTGTAATTTTCAACACAAGAAATGTAGATCAACATAGATTTAAACATTTTTAAGCGTTCAAGCAAAAAAACAAAGAAATCACAAGATATTATCAAAAAATTGAAAAAAAAAAAACTTACCTATTTTTGCAATATTTTTCAGAGCTTGGAAAACCTTCAAAAACCTTGATGGTTCACACTTGTTTCTTGTGTTTTATTGCATATCTAGCACTCTAGAAATGAGATTTGGAGTTTTAGAGTTATTTGGGGTGAAAAAAGGCCATTGATACACCACCTTTTTTACCCCCTTTTTTTCATTTCCTGCATGTATCTTTTTCGCAACATATCAACTGATATGCCATTGATACACCACCGATACATGTCCAATACAAGTACGATAAGATGGGAAAAGATGATACCACCTATTTCCCACCGTATCCCATATCAAGCTTTCAAAGATACAATACGATACACCCTGTACTAGGTGTATCGAGTCAAAATTTTAAAGTTAGTTGTTTGTTCTCAGATTCATCATTTCCATCTTCTCCTTTTGATCAGCCTTTCTGTCCTGATCATCCTCCTTGTTTTGATCCTCCTTGTCCAAATGATATCCCTACGACTCCTACTACCACTCATTCACTTGTACAAGATGGGAAAGCAAATGACATTGAGGTGAGTGTTTATACAAGAAAGACAAGGAGGGAAGTTTATCATCCCTTTGAAAGAGATCCTCTAGCTAAAGGCTATGACCAATCGAGTGTCTCTCAACCTGGCCAAGGTACTATTTCTCACCCTAACATGGATTTACCTATTACCTTGCTTAAGCCAATCCGCTCATGCACTTTGCATCCAATATCTAACTATCTATGTTTATCTCATACACTCACCTTTTTCCTACCTATTATTCTTTTGTGTCTACCTTGTCCTCTACTTCCACTCCCACTAGGTACTCAAAAGCTATTCTAGACCCAAAATGGAGAGAAGCAATGAATGAAAAAAATAAAAGCCTTATTAAAGGCAGGAACGTGGGAGTTAGTGCATCTACCAAATGGGAAGGAAACTATGGGTTGCAAGTGGATGTACACTATTAAACACAAAGCATATGGGTTTGTGGAAAGATATAAGCCAATGTTGATTGCTAAAGGTTTTATACAAAGGTAAGGCATTGACTATAAGGAGATGTTTGCTCCTATTGCAAAATTAAATACCATACATATCCTTCTCTCATTAGTTGTATTTTGTAAATTTCCCTTGGGAATTTCACCAATTAGATGTCAAGGAGATATTCTTAAATGGAGATCTTCAAGAAGGGGAAGTTTATATGGATCGTCTTCCTAGATATGACATGAAAGGGAAAGTGTACAGGTTAAAGAGAGCTCTATACAGCTTGAAGCAATCTCCAAGAGCATAGTTTGAAAGGTTGTGCAAGGCCATGAAGAATGTGGGATATAAGTAGAGCAATGTTGATCGCACACTATTCTGTAAGCAGGCAAATGATAAGCTAATGACATTGATTTTGTAATTTGATATGGTGATCACTGGAAATGGCTCAAAGAAAATTCAAAAGTTGAAGGATTGTTTTAGCACTAGAATTCGATATTAAAGACTTGGGTCTTCAAAGGTACTTCCTTAAAATAGAGGTTGTTAGGTATATAGTGAAGGGATATACATTTGTCAAAGGAAATATGCCTTAGACTTGCTGAATGAGACAAGAAAGCTGGGAAGTAGACCTACTAATATTCCTATTGAGTATAGCCATGGGCTACAGGAAAGTGATGATGATAAATTGTACACTAATAGAGAGAGGTATTTGTCCCTTACCAAACCTGATACTGCCTATGCAATACATATTGTAAGCCAATTTATGCATGAACCTAGAATCTCCCACATGAAAGCTATTGAACCACTTCTAAGATACCTTAACACATGCCCAAGAAAGGATTGGGCAGAGTATATTTGGGATAGGAGATCCACATTTGGATATTGTACTTTTGTTGATGGGAATTTGGTTACTTGGAGAAGCAAGAAGCTACCTGTTGTTGCTAGGTCCAGTGCTGAAGCCAAGTAAAGGGCAATGGCTCATGGTGTAGTTGAATTTTTATGGATTAGTATTCTGCTAAAGGAGTTAGGGATCCAGATTGATGGCCCCTTAAGGTTGTATTGACAATCAGGACACCTATGCATTCCCTACTTGCCTTCTGGAAAACAGCTAACTGATGTTTTTACCAAAGGATCACCAGAGACAATATTTCATGACTTGTTGGGCAAGTTGAGCATAATGGATATCTATGCTCAACTTTAGGGGGAGTGTTCTAAGACATAGTGCTATTAGGCTGCGCTCATCAGTATATTAGTTTTCTTATTTTGTTATTAGGGCTTGTGGGCCTAGGCTTACATGTTTTAAACATGTCATTTATACCTACCTACTGAGGGGTATTTTGTACTTGCACCTTTCTTTACAATTTAGTTTAAATACCAATTAGGGTTAGGCAGAAACTAAGTACTGCCACTCTTCTATTCTCTCTTCTCATCTCCTCTTTTCTCTATCTTTTTTCCTTTCTTTCTCAAAACCTTCAAGAAGCTTCAAGATCCATGTAAGTGGCTTAAAAATAATAAACTTGGGCTCATACATAATGCAGAAAAAATAGAAAAATTACTTTAAACCTAAAAAACAAGCCAAGCAAGAAGAATTTGAGTAAAAAATAAAAGTAATAAAGAAGATGGTCCATAACATTCATTGCCAAGAAAAAATTGCTAATTTGGTCAAGCAAACAAATAACAAATATTTCCTTCTACTCTATTGACCATGGAAAAAATTGTATCATCCCTCCCCCACCCCACCAAAAAAGGATTATCATAAAAACAAATGAAAGGAATAAAAGCAAACAATAAAGTATGACCAAACTATGAAAAATATCAGGTACTTGCCTTTGCAATGCTGACAGTCCACCGCTTCACTGCAAATAGAAAAGGGGAATTAATATGTAAATAGCATAATGTAACACAGTAAAGTCAACAAGAACATAAAAAGGTTAACAAGAGCATCATAAATTTGATATGCCATATGCTTTCCATAATCCAATTGCTAAAGTAATATGTAAATAGCATAATGTAACACAGTAGAAGTAAACAAGAGCATAAAAAGGTTAACAAGAGTACCAAAAATTTGACATGCCAAATGTTTTCCTTAATCCAATTGCTAAAGTGAATAAAAGCTAATCAAGAATTTTCCAATAGTTTGAAGTAACTCAGATGCAAGGGAAAAGAAACAATGATGCCAAAAACATAAAATGCTCCAAATGGAAACATAATTACAAGTTGTTAAATGTAATTACAAAAATGGAATAGAGTATAGGAAAATTATCCTTTAAAGGCATGTACGCATGTCCTCCCACCAAAGATTTAGTCCTATCCCAATATAGAGTGTTGTATCTAATGAAACATAAAAGCAAAAATCTATGATGCAAGAAAAGTGCAAGGGGCTTGTCGCACCCAAGGCACAAGACAAGGCAAGGCGGACTCCTTTTTGAAGCAAGGTGCGAAATTTTTAAAAACTCAAAAAATATTAAAAATATTAATTCAAAAAATGAAAAATTGAAAACTTAAATTTAAAAAAAAAAAGTGTTTTGAAAATGCTTATTGGATCAAATCAAAATGCATAAGAATAACAATTAAAACGTATTAAAAATGAAAAATGTAAAAAGAAAACCAAACATTTTCAAGCACGCAATAATTCAAGCATATGGAACTTTCAATCTGTTTATTTCTCTCCCAACTGCAGTACTTCAAGTAGCTAATGTGATGTCAACCATTTTGCATTCTTAATTCTACAAGCCGCCTTTGCACCAAGCCCCTTGAAGCAAGCCCAAACAAATTCAGACTTCAGAGAAGGGTCTTGAATTCTTTCCTCATATTGATATTAGTTTTGTAGTTTTAGTTGTAGTTCCTTATCATTTAGGATTATGAATCAAATGTTGTTTGATGAAGAATGTCTTGTATAAAGAAGAATAAGCAAATACTAGCAAACAAACAGAGCCCCTAGCACAACCACTATGCTTGAAAAGGTGCACAAATTGACTAAGGCACACACCTGGGCTGAGGCACAAGGCACACCAGATGCACACCATTTCAAAGGGCTGCACCTAGGCCTAGGTAAGGCGAATACCTTGAAATGCACCTCACCTATGGCCTAGGCACACCTTTTAAATCACCGGATAATAAAAAATATCCATTCTAACCACTGAACACAAGCATCTTAAAAAAGTAAGGAGAATAAGACTTCTAGAAAGCAATAGCCCGGACTAGATTAATTTACACACTACATTATGTATGTATGATCAGCAACAAACCTTTTTTTGAACCACTCAGCAACAACAATTAACATATATATGCATATTGTTTGATCATGTGCGTATGTTGACTGCACTAGTGACAAGGGTTAACTTGATGCAAGTATTAAGGCTCTAAAAGAGCAAGGGGATAGCAATGAAAATGCCAGCTAAGAATGGTAAGAAATTATATGATTCACAATTTGGCAAAATATTATATATATATATATATACATATATTTGTGTGTGTGTGTGTGTGGCTCTTGATAGAGTATAATGACAGGACAGAATTTGTGTATCCAACTCCAAATAGTTGGGGTTAACACTGGGCTGAGTTTAGTTAAGCACATTCATGCACAGTAAATGGATTGAATTTCTTAGAAGTTAATCAAATTGACCAGAACAATAGATTGAAAATTTCCACCATGGTACCTGACCAGCACGTCCTTGTTAGCAATGAAAATAGATTGAACAATAGATTGAATTTCTTAGCAATGAAAATGCGAGCTGAGAATGGTAAGAGTAGAAATCACTATTTGTAAATCAGGATGAATTCCTTGTAAAGAGAAAGAAGAAGAAGATGAAGAGTTTCAGCAGTAGAGAAGAAAAGAGAGGAAAGAAAGAGTGGGATGATAACCAGAATTGAATTAGTTCTGGCCGCCAACCCCTCATTATATTTTATATTTAACTTAAAAGAATGAAAGATTACAAGAATGCCCTTAGTAGGGTGGCTACTAAAGTAGCTGAACAGTCACAACTTTAAAAACATAAGCTAATGGGCCTAGAGCCCAACAACTTCTTAACTTAACAACTTAAAATAAGAACAAAACAACTGGGCCCAATAACTAGAAATTGGCCCAACTCAACAGTAAGAAATGATATGATTCACAATTTGGCAAAATATTTTATATGTGTGTATGTGTGTGTGTGTGGCTCTTGATAGAGTACAATAACAGGACAGGATTTGTGTATCCAACTCCAAATAGTTGGGTTAACACTGGACTGAGTTTAGTTAAGCACATTCATGCACAGTAAATGGATTGAATTTCTTAGAAGTTAATAAAATTGACCAGAACAATAGATTAAACATTTCCACCATGGTACCTGACCAGCACGTCCTTGTTACAGTGCCCACACTGGTAGTTCTCAGATTTTTCTCCTTTTGACATAAGGTAGGAAAGTCCAATTCTTCTGGAGTGATTCTTCAGGACTGTGACAACTGCATCCTGAAGCTTTGCAGAATTCTGCTTATTGGACGTTCGAGATAATTTCTTTTCTTCAAAGGCCTTCAAGATGTTCAAAGGAACATGAGACTCATCCAACCAATATTTCTTCCTTTCACTAGAGGACACTTCAAGCATGACCCCATGCTTGAGAACAGCATCTGGGATGGTTTTCCTCTTGCCAAAATCTAGAAGATACTTCACTTGAGCTCCTTCCATACATTTCCTCCTTATTGTCACCTTCTTGAATGGCCTCATTAATTTCCAAAGTTCCTTAGACATCTTAAACAAGAGCATATTGTTTTCCAGGTCATCCCACCGAATATTTGAGTCTAGCTCTCTAACCTGGAAAATATGACATCATAGAAGTTAAGGGGATTTTAATAACATGAGCCTTATCATTGGAGTAGTAAAGACAAAATTAGAAAAAGGATGGACCTTAGAAGATTAATACCTGAAAAGCAAGTTGTGGAACACTTATACACATCTCAAGTGCAGCTCGCCAGGCAATGTATTTACTTCTCTTAGCTAACTCTGATCCATCGGGATACAATATGCCAGGTATCTTTATGCATCCAGCTGCAGAAGATCAAGCTTAAAACATGTTTAGAACCATATTAATAAAACTAAAGCTACAAAATTTCATATATTACAATGAAACCAAAGAAAAAATGCCTACCTTGTCTGCCAGCTTTGTATGCCAAGGTGTGGGGTAGAAACATCCAATGGTATACTTGACGTGAAAGCCTTCCACCCCTCCACCAAAAGATACCTGAACCAGCAGTATTTGAAGAAAAACTGGAATCAGCATCTGAAAATCTGCCACGTTTCCTGCCAATCCCATGTTTTGAAGGCAGGTTTACGGAGGTGGTCAAGACATGAGAAGCTGATCCCATTGTAAAAACAGAATCCACCTGTTTCAACCATTCTTCTGAAAGTGCAATGCGGCGCAAACTCGACTCTAACTGTAAATTGTAGTTATATATGTAAATTAATCACATACAAAGCAGGAAAGGAAAAACAAAAGACCAACTTTTGACAAAATGACAATAGCTGTAATTCATAAGTTCAAAATGCAGGACTCCTTACAATGAGCAGCAGACGTTTTACTGATGCAATATCAGATGCTTTAAGGACACTTTTGCGCCACTGCATGCTATAAAGGGGATTCTGCCATGGACCAGAGAGAAGCCCAGACAAACGATGTTCAATGGAGAGAATATGATGTATAACATCAAAAAGATGGTTTTTCCTGTTCTTTTTAGAATGAAGGCCAACTGCACCACTTTTAGGACCTTCTGGAGGATGCTTCTTATTAAACATGTTAAATAAGCAATTCCCACTGTCAGTGGGATTTTTACATGAGAAGCACCACCCGCAATTTTCTTTCTGCAGATCCTTGTAAAGATTCTGAATATTTGACCAACAAAGCTTTGTTGACTTCTTAGAAATGACCTTTAGCTGTGCTGAGACTATCTCGTCAACAGATGAGTTAGGGTCTTCATTTATCCGTTCTGATGACTTGTGCAGTAACTCTTCTGCAACAGATGCCGCTGTCTGAGCAAAAATGTAACAATTAACATAAGAACCAGATTCAAACTGCATTGGAGATGGCACCACTCGTTTAGTATTATTTACTGGGGATGTATGAATGGGAACAGCAGGTGCTAAACCCTTTTCTTGTTTGTCATTTAAGTCAGCAGGTTTGGATAATTGCTCCCCAATGAAACCCTCTTCTTGTTTAACACCCAAGTCAGCAGGATTGGGTAAGTCCTCTCCAATGGCAGATTGGAGCTTCACAGGGATTTCAGAGTCCGCACTTTGAATTAATTTATTGGAACAATCAGCACCATTTTTCTGAGATGTTTGCTTGCCTGCATTGACCTGTGAGATATCAGCAGAGCCTTCAGAACTTGCAAGTGGGCTTGCCATCTCCATAAACTGGTTCACGGTTGCTGAGTTGAGCCTGCTAATAGAATCTGAAATCTTGCTGCTTTGATGGGCTAAACCTTCACTTATAACAGAACCTTCATTTGGCCTTCCTTCATTAATTGCCTCATTTTTAGCTTCACCCATCACTGAAAGTGGCACCATTGAAGAAGAAAGATGGACAATGGAGATTTGTCCTCCCAAATCTATGTCTTGGGATACAGTATGAGCATGAGACTCCAAATTACCTGCTCCAGTTGAATCACTAGAAATGCCCCAGTATGATGAGATTGTACTTATTATTTGACCATAGACAGTATCTGATGACTTTAGCACTTCCAGTACAGCATTCAAATCATCCTTGTGGTAACAGTAATAAGATGATTCTGAATCACATGAATCAGACCTGCAAATTCAGCAACATAATAAAAACTCGGGCAAATCAGAATCATAGTTGTTAAGGCAATGCCTAGGCAATAAGGTGCTCGTGGAGGATTGCCTTGCTTAATCACCAAGATATTGTTCACATGGTGCTCTTGGATACTTTTACATTCTTAATTTGAGATTATAATGATAAAATAGACCATTTAACTAAATTATTCAGTTTAAGTTAAAATACTAGTTTCTTTTTATTATTTTTCTCATTTGTTAGGATTCAATCAACATACATACTGCCTTCAATCCCCAAAGACTTCAAAACTAGAACTGATAATCATGGAAGAACTCAAAATTGTATCCAAATAACACATTTTTTTATAAATATCCAATCAACACATATCGATTCTTCTTCTTCACAATAAATAGAGGCTCAACCCCTCAATTTTCTAAAATTTCTTTTCTTAGGAAAAGAACACCCATCAACTAGGCAGACTAGGCGATAATTAACAGTGAAAGATGGGTTGTATTCAAAAGAAGTCACCTAGCCTCACCTTGACGCCTTGAAAACTATGCCTCTAGGGCCCACTGCCTTACTTTGACAATCAAGAAATACAAGGATAGCTTAACATGTGGAGCAATGAGTTTGTATGATGACAACACTTTCTTTTGACCCTCCAATAAAACATAACATGCTATCAACAAATCACCTAATGAATGCTTGCCTGGGTGATTTGGTTTTAATGTGTTCACATGGTCACTACACTTACTTGTGCTCCTCTAATAAAACACAGATATGTTATTAATCAAGTGAAAAATTAAATCATCCAGTGTGTGCATCCTTTTGTTGCTACCCCAAATGACACATTAACAACCCACTAACATATGAAGAAATAGAGATTGCCTCTAGGGTCTAATACCTTACTATGACAATTTAGAAATATCAAGGTAGCCTAACATGTTTTTTTTATAATTGAATAAGTATTTTATTAAATAGAGAAGAAACTTTACAAAGGGTAGCCTAACATTTTAAGCAATTAGCTCAAACAACCCCAAATCACCTAGTGAGTGCATGCCTAGGTAATTTGGTTTAGATGAGCTCACATGGTCACAACACCTTCTTGCAAACCTACAATAAAACACAAACATGATAACAATAAAATAAAAAATAAATCATCAAATGAGTGTATGCCTTTTTCCTACCCCAAATGATACAAAAATAACCCACTAACATATGAAAAAAATAGAGACTACCTCTAAGGTCTACTACCTTACTATGACAATCAAGAATTGCCAAGGTAGCTTAACTTGTATTGTGATGTGTTCACATGGTCACAATGCTTTCTTGTGACCTTCCAATAAGACATTAACATGCAATCAATCAAAGGAAAAACCAAATTACCCAATGAATGCATGCATGGGTGATTTGATTTGGATGAGTTCATGTAGTCACAACACTTTTCTTCTGACCCTCCATTGAGTCATGAATATGCTTATAATCAAATTTTAAACAAAATCACCTTGTAAATGCATGCCTAGGTGATTTGCTTTCAATTAGTCCACATGGTCACAACACTTTTTCAACCCTCCAATAAAACATAGATATTTTTTTGCTCAATAACTAGATAAATTCATTCGTTAAAAATTAAAAGAAGTACAAGGGAGAGATAAACTCTCTTAACTCTCCCCAGACAGCAAACAAGGTTACAACATAGCCCAGAAAATTTGATTCCTTCCTACCCCTTGTTTAGCCAATGTGTCTGCAAAGCCATTAGCTTCTCTTTTCACCTAAATCAGCTTCAGCTCCATACCTTGTGTTAGCCACTTAAACTTCCTATTTTCATAAATAGAATCCCACCAGCCCAGCTCCTCCTCCTTTTGAAGCCCAATAAAACATAGACATTTATCAATCAAATGAAAGACGATATTACATAGTGAGTGCATGCTTGTTGTTGCTACTCCAATGAATACACGAACTGGCCGCTATCATATGATAAAATGGAGACTACCTCTGAGATCTGCTACCTTAGTAGGAATATCAAGAAATACAAAGGTAGCCTCTAAGAAACCCCAAGCATGCTCTAAGTCAAAGGATAAGCCAAATCACCCAGTGACTGCATGCTTGGGTGATTTGGTTTTGATGAGTTTACATAGTCACAACAATTTCTTGCAACCATCCAATAAAGTACAAACATGCTACTATCAATCAAATGAAAAAACAAATAGCCCAGAAAAGATATGTCTAACATTGCTACACCAAATGATACAAGAACAGCCCGCTATCATATAAAAAAAATATTACCTCTATAAGATGCTACCTATGACAACTAGGTAATACCAAGGTAGCTTAACATAACAAGTAGAGAGATGCCTAGGCGATAATGCACTCATGGAGGGTCACCTCGCTTAATCACCAAGATATTTTTTACACAGTGCTCTTGGATACTTTTATACTCTTAACTACTTCTCAAAAAACAGATACTTTTATATTCTTAACTTTCCAAGATTATAATAATAAACAATACTTGGGAGAATTTACAAAAGAAAAGGCCTTTTGGTGTTAATCCCCAAACTAGTGTGTTTTGTGCAAATGTCACAGTGAGGACGGTTACCACTTACTAGTTTCTTGTTCCTTTGCTGCAGCTCACTGGGATTGGATATTTGTTTTTTGTTTTTTTTTTTTGATAGATAACAGAAACTTTTATTAATAAAGAGATTAAAAAGGAGGATACAACAGGAGGGAGGGGTAAAATCTCTTAACCCTCCCAAAAGTTTACTTCAGATTACAAAGTTGCCCAGAAAAAAATAGCTCTTCCCACCCCTTGCTTAGCCAAAGAATCTGCCAAGGAATTGGCACACCTTTTAGTCCACTGAAACTGAACTTCCATGTTTTGAATCAAATGCTTAATTCTCTTTTTCTCATTTAGGTATTTCCACAAACTGAAGTCATCCTTCTACAACCACCTAATAACCAGGCTCAAATCACCTTCCACCACCAGTTTTCTGATATTCAGCTGACGTGCTCTTTTAATCCCTTCCAAGACTGCCAGTATTTCAGCCCTCAGAGAATCCCCCATCCAATAGGCCCCGAATACATTCCAATAATTTGACCTTCTTCATCCCTGAAGAGCTCCACCCATACCTGAAGGACCTGGGTTTCCTCTGCTGCTTCCATCAAAGTTCAACTTAGTGTAGCCCAAGGGTGGAGGAACCCAAACTGGAGAAGGGGCAGTTCTCAGGGGAGCTGACCAAGCCACTTCCAACCAGTTCTTAATGATATCTCCTGCTGTGTAATCTTCAAAGAGCTTCAAGGTCTTAACCCAATGAACCACCCTAATGGAAATTACTTCAATGATAGCTTCCTTATTTCTTTCTTTCTCAAGGAATATTCTTTGATTTCTTTCCTCCCACACTGTCCAACATATTGCTGCTCTTACACATCTCCACAGAAATTTACCTCTCTTTTTTAACCCTCTCACTAACGAAATGTTAAACAACCTTTGCACACTTGGAGGAGAGGACCACCTGCAACCGAAGAGAGAAAAAAACCAGCACCAGATTTCTGATACAAAAGGACAGGAAACCATTAAGTGATAGCAGCTCTACCCATTCTCCTTACATAGGATACACCAGTGCGGGGACAAACACCAATTTGGCCTTTTCCTTTGAAGTACGTCACAAGTGTTGCACTTTTCCAAGAATGCTTCCCAGCAGAAAGCACCCACTCTGGGAGGAAATGGTATACCCCAAATTTCCAAGACTGGGAAAGGGTGTCCGAAAGCCGGTTGAGACTGGGTTAATTCTTCGAAAAAGGAAGAGCAAGTAACTACACCCGAGGAGGAAGGAACCCAAATCCTATTATCTCTTCTAGAGGGATCAATAACCACCTCATCTAGGATCTTAAGCAAATCAGAAATGGTGTTCAACTCAGAGTCTCTAAGAGCCCTTCTAAAACCCAAGTTCCAAATAGAAGCAGACAAAGTAGGGGATAGAAAGGTGGAAACAGGCTCATTTTTAAAACTCGATAGGGAGAACAACGCTGGAAATTGCACTTTCAGAGGTGAGTTTCCTACCCAAGTATGTTCCCAAAATTTCACAAAATTATCGGAACAAACGTCATACCTGATGAGTGGAAGGAATGAAGGTAAAATAGCATGGATGGACTTCCAAGGGGAAGCTCTTGTAGCCCTAGATGAGACTCCAGCATCCCAGACGTCCACTGCTTGCCCATGGATACTTAGAATTACTTGGATGTTTGTTTTGTTTGGATGTAGGTGAAATCATTCAATAGAGGTAAAATTATTGTTTTCCCCATCTACCTTTGTTTTCCCAACAAAAAGGAGCAGTATGTGGAGAGCAGCTACCTTATAGACAATTTGGTAAGAAATAAGTGCTAGAATTTTCCAAGATAAGGAGAGATCCTTTATAGAAGTGAAGGATTGTATTTTAACTAGGGCTATCCACTGGCTGAAATCCTGGGCTTCTTTGAAATCTTTCTCTTTTGATGATATTTGGAGGAATTGACTGCAGTAGCACACGCTTTGGTTAGGAAAAACAGAGCTGCAACAATTTGGGTAACTCCTCCAGAAGGGGTTATTAAATTGAATTTTAACGGAAGAAGTGAAGGCAACCCAAGACCGTCTGGTATAGGAGTCATGAGGAATGAGAATGGCAACATCATATCCTTATTCTCAAGCCCAGTGGGGAGAGGGGATTCCACAAGAGCCGAGTTGTAGGCTGCAGTACAAGGGATTCAGATCGCTAAGCAATTAGGAGTGGAGAACTTATTAATTCAAGGGGATTCTGAGGTGATTGTGGGATTCTAAAGTGTAGATTCCAATGGGTGGGTAGGGAGGCAAATGCCTTGGCTGATTCTCTTGCTAAACATGAAGGGATGAGAGATCCATCGTATGGACGCCCAAATCTTGCGGAATAAGGTGGGCGAATTTCAAAAAAATTTCTCTCCCTTTCAATTGGGAATCGAATTCCCTATTTAGAAAATCATATTTTCAATGATCAATCTTGAACCAT